AGAGCGACTGTTGAAAATAAGTGTATCGGTAAAGTTATATTCGGAAAGAATAAACCAGTTTTATTAAGAAAGGACTTGTGTCGTTAAAGTTTCGTGGGAACGAAGTTACGGAAAATCAACTAACGAACGGAGACGTAACTATATGAAAAGAAAGATTTATATAAAACAAGTAGTCTCGGTTGGATTATACGAAACGTTTGTCCAAGCATTTTTTACAAATTAAAAATGTAAACGTATTTATCATTTCTTATATAAACTAAAGCCAAACGTGCGTAATACAAGCTTTAAATATTTATTCACACAGAATGCGTGCAAAGAATACAATAACGAACATAAAGGAACATGTCCTTGTATTCTTGAAATTCGCCACAAACTTTAAAGTGGGTGACTCGTTACTGCTCGACTGACCTTTAAAGTCACTGCTCGACTGACCATTACACTATCAGTCGGTGTGTGAAACAAATCGGTAATGGTATTGTTTGTATAATTTGATATCAATTCTACTGTAAAATCACAAAGTTTTGTTAATTTTAAGTATGTGACATAATTTCTTTTTGTCAAAAATAAAGAAATATCAATAGTCTCAGCGATATATTCGACTCCAAACTGAACATTCTACAGAAAATCACAAAGGTTTTAATATTCTATTGAAGTCTATGACGAAACGTAAATTAGCAAAAGTTCCAAGTGATTTTTCGCTTACTTTCTGAAAAGTTTACTCAAGTGATCGACTATATTATACAGTAAATCGTTCATTTAGAAAACCGTTTGTAAAGGCCTAATATAAGTGTCCCTATATCTAGTTGGAGCAAATTGTTCGTATATAGTTTAATACTTTCTGAGTAAAAGCAGATGTAAGAACCAAAACAAGGGTATATATATATATATCTGATGATAAATAAAATACATTCGTACATTGTATTACTTTTAGTGGATATGGTTCTGGCAATAATACCTACAGATTGAGCTGTTTTACGTCTAAAGCGACATCTAACAGATTGAATACACAATCGTATTTTCATTTATACGCACAACTTTAATGCTTTTATATGATACAAACTGCCTATTTTATCTGTTTTATTTTGTATTATTCAGACAAAAATATCCACTAGAGTTATATATCTAAACCGTAAAGTCAAACTGTACTGCACTGCGGTTACTTAATGTGTTAATATTTATGTAGAGTTTGAACATTTTAATTGTAAAGCGACTTCAAACAGTCCGTTTCACGACTACATAGCTTGTAAGTTAAGTTAGTGTAAGGATATCTAGAGTTTGGATGTTTTATATTAATAAGAACAAAATGTCCCTCTTAAGACTATATTGCAAATTAGCCTAATATGTGTGTGTGTGTGCAGGGCTGACGAGAAGGAAGAGTGGGGGGGGGGGGCAGCTATCCCGGGGATCTGTTGAAGGGCCCGGAAGTGGAATATTCCAAAGTTCACCAGAAATGTATACTATTTAATGAACTTTTTCATGGATTCATGAAGAAATTTATCACCCAAATTTTTTTAATGAAAAATCAGCAAAAGTTAATAAACAGAATGAAAGGGGGGGGCGATGATATTACTGACCCCGGGGCCTGGGCTGGCTCTTGACGTCCCTGTGTGTGTGTGTAAACCTTGAAGTACGTGATACAGTTAATTAAAGTCTGATAGATAAAATGTTAATTTTAACTATTCAAACCGTGTGTTTGTTATTACGATTTGAATACAAATATCGTTCCGTTCGTATCAATATATAAAATTAAAATGTTTAGGGTTAACGTGGACAAAAGTCCTTTACGTATATTGTAAGTTAAACTGGTATATGAATAGCCATTCAATACACTATACAAATCAAAGTGTAGTATATATAATATTAGTTTTAAGCATTTAGACGTTTTGCTTATTATTTATACTGAGTGAAACTGTAAAGTTGATCTCCAAGATAACGCAGAAACCAATACCATGTTAAAAAACTATAGCAGTAATTTAGTATAACATGTCACAGCTTGGCATTTACGATCAACAACACTCTCTTATGGCTCACAAGCGAACAATATAACAAATCAATTATCTACACAGTATAGCGCCGCCCAGTGGCACAGCGGGATGTCTGCGGACTTACAACGCTAGAATCCGGGTTTCGATACCCGTGGTGGGCGGAGCACAGATAGCTCATTGTGTAGCTTTCTGCATAATTACAAACAAACACAGCATAGCTGATCTCACCCCCCCCTACAACTGAGACTATCTGCCCCTAGTGACACAAACAGTAACTATGACGTCAGGTGCCTCCCCGGTCTCAAAGGATACTCCGCTGAATAGCACCTTTATGATCTCAAGTGCCTGTATCGTTTGTACGGAGGTTAGGAGGATTAACTGCTGTCAAGCGGTAAGTTTATGGACTTGCAACGCATAGGTCCATGGTTCGATTCCCCTTCGTGGACAGAGTGCAGATATCCCATGGTGTACCTTTGTACTCAGGAAACAATAACGAGGGATGTCGAAAGATCATCCCCAATATTGTGAAACGTCGAAAAAAATCCATTATCCTGTGATTTTTTAAAACCAAACATTTTACTTTGACTTAAATCATTTAAATCCTTTGTGTCAATGAAAAAGACCCCTCACTCTACTCTGTAGTGCTGGCCATTCCCCTAGCTCACACCATCTTACTCTTTAAGCAACACGAAGATCCATATTTGCGTGTGTTCTTGCCATCTGATTACATTTATAAATTCTATTTTCTTTTTGGAGCTGTTATTCACCATTTTTTCCCCCCATAAGAGCTGCTTTGTGCTGAGGATGACGTTTGTTTTGCCTGATGTTATTTTGTGCCTTGTGTGATGTTGTTATATGTGTTTGCTAAGACTAAAACCTATAGTACTATAATGCAGTGAATCATCACTTGTGTAATCTAGTCATCGTTTCTACTGTAATCTTATGATTAATGTCACTTAATCGTTGTCACGATATAATAGAAAGTGAGAAGACAGAGAGAACACAAAGATAAACCCTGAATTTTTAACTTGCTTAAAACACACTGTTATTAAAAATGAGAGAAGTCTTACGAAGAGTACAGTATTTCTTTCTAACCGAGTTTACAGAATTAATTATATTGAGTACCCTTTTTAAAAAATTGTGACAGGTGATTTTCTTGTGATAATATCTCAAGTAGTGTTCAAATTGGAATTTTGAAGGAGGAGAAACTTCCTTCTGTGTTCCACTTTCTAGTAGCACCACACTTATATTAAGGTGGCCCCAGGGGCGTCGAGAACAAGCCCAGGCCCCGGGATCAGTAATATCATCGGACCCCTTTTCATTCTATTTATTTTGGAATATCCCACTACCGGGCCCCGGGGCAACTGCTCCCCTCTCGTCAGCCCTGGATGGCCCTTATTTTTGTAAATCACAACTCTCATCCTCTTACTCCTCTCAATCTATAACATTTCACCAGATAATAATACCTGGGAAGTTTAAAGGAAATCGACAGTTAAGGGTGCTTCACAGGGCTCAAAAGTCAATTACAAAACTTGAAGGTTAAATTTTCCGATCAAGTAATTTTTGGAACAACAGAACAGTATGGAGAAAATTGTCCTAGATTTTTCTACAACATCAGTGGTGCATCTCTGATAAAAGGCACAAATTCATACCTGTACAACGAGACAGTTGATGAAACAATTAACATTAACTTAGCCATTAACACGTAATATTTTAGACAAAAGAAAAACGACCGCGATATTAATTATTGAGAGAATCTTGAAGAAAAATGTTCGTAAAGTAAAGAAATTAGAGTACAATCTCGACGACACCTACATTATAAGAGAGCTGATTAGGACGAAATTTATATTTTGAATAGGTACAGGTTTTTCCTAGAACGAACATGCCCCCTCTACACACCCACATAAATTTAAAAGTACTGATTTATGTCAATATTCACGCTGTCCTAATTTTTATAACATATAACATTAAGTAGTACAAAGACTACAAATACAACTGTCGCATCCCAGCGGGACTCAAATCTGGCATTAATGAAAGTCTTTATCGGTACTGGATATGGCAGGTGTAGTTTGGTTGACATATTATGATATATTTTTCTTGGCTTTCACTCATACATTTTTATAATTAGAAAGTAATCATGCTGCATCAATATTCTAATATATAAGTTAGGTCTTGAAACAAAAGATGTAGGTTTCAAGTTATATTTGAAAACTGTCAATTTTATCCAGTTCAAATAATATAAGTTAGAATAACACGAATATATATATATAATCAGCTTTTACTTGTACGACATCAAAATCACAAAGATGGCGCTAGTCACTGAAATATGCTTCTCAAATTAACTGATCGAAGGGAGTACATATATTGTTTGGGGCGTGGAGGAGGTTCTAAAAGAGAAAAATACTAGAAAAACAAGGTATTTCTGTATGCAGTTTAATTTGAAAAGTATAAGTATTGTGAAATTATTAAAACCTAACTCATAAAAACGAGGTTCAATGTGACTAATATAAATAATTAACCCGGTAAACCGTAAAGTAAGTCAGCCTTAAGTTAAAATTGAACTTCAAAATTCAAGTCAACTTTTCAAATTCAGCTACAAGTTAATTTGTTAAACTTCTTATTAATAATATTACATTACTGAAGTACTACCTGTTCTTAAAGTATAATGGTGTATAGAGTTGCTTCTTAAAAATAGAAATATAGAACGTGCAGCGTACACGTTTCACATGATAAAAACTGAAGCCTATATTTGTACTCGTAGTATTACTATTAGATTTACTATGCCTGTGAGTATTAACTCAGTATTATTAGTATTTAGCTGGTAGTTTCGGGTGATCAAGATTTCTAAACTGAAAAACAGGGATAGCCCAGCTTTTGCTCCTAATTTCAAAATGGTTATTACAAATTTGAAATCACTTACTTTTTATTAATTTACCTTAAATATTTTGAACTGTTCCACAATATTTTCAAATATATTAATACAATAATAATGGCATAGTTTTGAAATAATTTCAACTAATTTTTTTTGGGGTGATAGAAACGAACGAATGAGCAAAATAGTCAAATTTATACATCCGAGAAATATTAAATTATTCACTTTGTCCAATTCATCATAAAATAGGTAACTTCATACAAGGATTTATTTAACAATCCATAACGTTTTCAAACACAGTGCTTTTAGTATTACTTTGAAACTTTTTAGACATATATTTGTGATTGTGTAAGATGTATTTTGAACATGAGCACTGCCTCCACATTCAGATCTGGATTTCTCACCAAGCACATATGAAACTTTTGAGAGTTTGGTAGCAGGAGAGTACATGTTACAACAATGAGCAAGTCAGGTAGGCCTGTTACATTTGTGATGTGACTAAAAGCTTGATGTCTTTATTATAAAACCAGGATGTTTCACATGTCCCAAGGATGCTTTTTGGGACAAACTACCATAAATAGGGGCTGTCCTATCAAAATTGGGATGTCTATTCACCCTAAAATAGTCGAGAGACATCTTTGGTAGTCCTTCTATTACTAACTTTTGCCAGAAATCTTCAAGAAAAAAGCAATGTCTAAAAGTAATAATTCCTAAATTTATGAAAAAAGTTGATAAATTTGTTAATATGATTAGGTTTCTTTTTATATTTCATCTAATCAACCTGAAGGTATAAAGCTGTATTACTGTTATGAACCAAGATCCATTTACTATCAAGAAACTGTATTTGCTGTTGTACATACAGTATGTGTAAATTAAATATGACTGGAATCTTAACTGCAAACTTTCTACAGCATGGTTGCTTTTTTTAAAATTAACATTAACTCTAATAACTAAGGATTAAAGTTTTAGTTCCCATATGGCATCAAGACAAGTGTTTGTAGGCCTTCCTGAATTTTGTGGAATTCATAGGCTATGGGAGCTGAAGTGTATGAGAGATGTATGTAGTTCTTGCTGAATAATAATAAAGGCCATCAGGCTATTACTTTTTTGTTAAAACATAATGTTTTGGGACAACATGGGACCTGTTGGTCCATCTCGGATGTTCCATTCTCTAAACTAAATTAAAATAATTAATAAAAATAATCTTAGAGCCTGTCCTTATCATTCATATACTTATCAAGCTTTTTCTTAGACTTACTGCCTCTACAACTTCCAAAAGCCAACCACCCTGTTACAAAAATAAAACTGTCTTAGCTGAAGATTACCCCTACCCTGCCAAAATTGATATTTATGTCACTAGTTCTGCTATTCTCACTGTTAAATATGAAAAAAGATGATGCATCAACACTATCAATTCCCTTTATAATCTTAAACACCTCAATCAGATCCCCCCCTAACTCTTTCTTTTTCAAGAGAAGAAAATTTGAGAGATTTCAACCTCTCCTCGTATGACAACCCCTCCATCCCGGGCACCATTCTAGTAACCCTTCTATGAACCCTTTCCAACAATTCAATGTCCTTCTTCAGGTAAGGAGCCCAAGACTGAACATAGTATTCCAGTGACCCATACAATGAAATTATAACCTCTTCAGACTTGTATTCAATATTTCTGTAGATACAACCTAAAATCCTATTTGCCCTACCACTAGCAACAGCACACTGTTTGGATGGATTTAGAGACTGATCGACTATTACACCAAAATCCCTTTCTTTCATAACACTATTAAGGTTATTCCCATCCAAATTATACTTATGATTCAAGTTATGATAACCCACGTGCA